GCTGACGCTCACATTGAGGTTTCCCATCGCTTGAGGAGAGAAGAGTTTCCGAGCGGATTGGCAGCGGTCAATGCGATTACCAGTGCATGTCTCGTTCCTGCCGATGTTTACGGATGTGATATTGATCATTGTTTACGCTATGCTGGTGTCCAGATACACTGGTCATCGGGAAGTTACCAAAGGGTAGATCTGATCGCAGGATGTATATGTGCGCGTGAAGAGGACCACCATTGCCCAGACGACCTTTTGTTTTCGTCGAGACAGCGCCGGTCTTTGGACCGAATTTAATTCGAATTCTTCGCATACGATAGTGAATCGGCAGCCATTGGGCATTTGCAATGCAGGCGAGGTAATTGTTGTCAGGGTGTGATGGTTACATTCCTTGAATAGCTGTAGTTGTCGTCTATAGAAACATGGATGCGTAAATGGAAGTTTGCCTTTCTTTTGTAACCTATTGAAGGTGCAAACACTGCAAGTTATGAATTTCTAAGGGGGCTTGGTAAAATAATTTTGCGCTCTTTCATTTTTTGTAGGCTTCACTGAGTAGTAGAGCCAGCATCGCTTGTTATATGCCTTTATTGACAAATTTCAACCCACTATGACTATTATTTCGCAATAGCAAGAAAAAACAAACAGCTATTTTCTTCGGCTAATTTGAATTTTAAATTCCATGTATAGACTTTATCATATCCATCTATATATGAATTTTTTATAGAGCAAACGGATTAAATTTTATGCGATAACAGTCGCTATTTGAGAATTTCTTTGAGATGACTGTTTGAAATGGATACTTCCCAATAATTTTTCAAAACTGCGGTTTTTCGTGCCTTTGCGGCTAACTTCCCTATAGTATCAATGGCTTTTTGTGAGAAAAGAGTACCTCTCAATAGTCTTTTTTGTTTCTGAGGAATAGCCTTTTTCCCGGAAAATTCTTAAATTGGAATAATTTAATTTTGTAATTAAATGAATACAGTGATTGAAACATTGCTCGCTATATTTGATCAAGCTAATAGCGATTGTAGTGCATCTGAAAGTGGGACTATACTCGCGGGTGAGGCTTCACGAGTTTATTTTTTTGGAATGCATTGATTTTCCCTATATCATGATGGGCACTATTTTGATGCCCATAGGGTATCGTGCTAATGTGATTCCAGTTTTTTTTCTGTTTTCATCACCCTTTCGCTCTTCTTAAAGATGTACTGGAAAGTCACTTGAGCTCACTGAGCAGGAAAGTTGAGCGTAGAGGAGTTTAAAGAGGTTTCCGAAAAGGCAACTATTGTGTTTTTGTTTTTAATAAGGTAGAAAGGGTTCCTCACACGTTAATAAACTTTCTTTACAATTTCTTTCCTGGCTGAAAGTATCGGAAGTCTTTCAAAGGGACAATTAGCATCTCCTCGCAGAGTATCAGGTTTTCAAAAACAATATTTAATGTGAATATGAGCAAAAGTTCTTGATTTTGAAGGAAATCGTTTTTTATATAGCTTAAATTATCTTTTTGTTTTCACTGTTCGAATATGTTGACTTGAATGAAATATAATCAATCCTAAAGTAGAATACCCGTGCAAAACCAGCCAACTTTCATGTCTGTTTACACGAAACATGTCTCCATCTACTTTTACGTTTACACTGGAATTGCGTGAGTGGTGTGTCGGGGTAAATTACTAACCAGATGGCGATGTGATGACCGAGCAGCACTCCCTACCCTGAACACCCCCGCTGAAATGTGTCCGAGGAGATTTATGACACTTCAAATAATGCAGATGTGTGCTTGAGCTAGTTAATCGCCACATATAATTTTTTTT